CCGGGTGGAAAATCTAGTGGTGACCTTCAGTGTGGCCAAGTGTCTGTTTGCAATATGTTGCCTAAATGTTTGTGTGGCTTCTCCAGAGGTGCTTGAAGGCAGGTGTGGCACTTCAGGTTTACCCAGCCTTGGGGCATTGCTGACAAGGATGTTGGGGACAGAATGACAAAGAACCTGAGGTTTAACCTTGCCATGTAAGCTGGTGGTGGGGGGAGCATTAGAGGGAGGGGGAATCCTGGGGCTAGAGGCCCAGTGGTTCAAGAAGTAAAAGCAATTCCCTGAATCTTCTCACAGCTCACCCTGGGGAACGGGAGGTCCCACAATGATCTAGAAGTAAGCGCCTCAGTGGTCCAGGAAGGAATAGTCAGAAACTTAAGGGCCAGGAGTCTGGCTTTCCCCCTGGTTTCTGGATGGGTCTCCTCCAGTTTCAGCTGCTTGAGGTCGGGAAATGACGATGGCTCCCTAAGCACCGTGGGCTTTCGTATGAAATTACAGCAGTCCCTTTTCACGCACAAGGGGTGTTCTAAGACTTTCTTTTTCCTGAAACCAAGCCAAGCGCAAGGTCGCAGATCTGCTGTGTACACAGCTGTGTCTCCATTTCCCCCACAGGTGTGCACTGGTTACTCTCCTTGCTGCTGTCACAAAAATCCCCGACTAAAGCAAGGAAGGAAGGGTTGATCATAGCTCTCAGCTTAAGGCTATATAGTTCATCATGGTGGAGGCTCTAGCTACAATGACAGGAGCGTGAGACAGCTGGTTACCTTGTATCCAGTTGGAATCGGTGAGAGAGGAAGAGAGGGAGGGAGAGAGGAAGGGAGAAGAGGGGAGGGAGGGAGAGACAGAGACACTTAGACACACACAGAGACAGACACACAGACAGACATATTGGTACTCAGCTGGCTTCTTCCCTCTTGCCTTTGGATTCAGTTGTGGACACCAGCCCATGGGATGGTGCTGCCATATTCAGAGTGGCTCTTACCCCCTCAGTTCAAGTTCTCCGGAAATGCCTTCACAGTCACCTCCAGAGGTGTGTCTCCTAGGTGATTCCAAATCTCAGCGAGCCAGAAGCCAAGATTAACCATCATGGTGTGCAGACAGGTATACAGGCTTGCCTTAATAACAGCACAGCACGTAGACCCATTTCTCTGCGTACACATGCCTATGGTAAGACTTATACATTAGGGTTAGTATGTGATTAACAGCAACAACTCATACTACAAGAGAACAAGCAATGGCATCTATCCCCTCCCAAACATGACTAGGCAGTGCTCACCTTTCCTACGAGGGTGACATGCAATGACCCAGGGCCTATGGAATGAGATGAGATGGGGTGAGTGACATAGACGTTGTGACTGTGTGGGATTTGGCATGGGCTCCCTGGACACAAACAAGCACTGGAATTCTGAGACAGTCTCTTTGAAACTCAGTGAGCTAGGTGGGTGGGTGTCGTATACACTGGACATGATTCGTGACATCTTGGGCAGGATGGATCGAGGGGGCCTGAGGTTTCAGGTGTCGTGCAATGACTTATTTCCAGGATTTTTTCAATGTGGTATTTCCAGGCCAAGGCTGACCACAGGTAACAGACAGACATCGTGGAAGTGAAGTGGGGGTGGGGTGGGGAGGAAGGGGGATGTGCAGCAGAAAACGGAGACACAGAAATGCATAAAGACGAAATCAGGCACAGGAGATGCTGTTGGTGTTCGGTGTTTCCCATCATGCCACAGTGCCACCCACCCCTTCCATGTGGGGCTAATGCCTGCCTTTCCCAGTGGCCCATGGAGAAGGCACCTTGCCTCCTCAGTAAGCACCATCAAAATCGTGGTTTCCACTCGGCTCCTAAAATTGCACTATGGGAAAGTGAACTGCTCCCTGTGCAGGGGCTAGGCTGACCCTTCTCATCCTGGACTCCTGCAGAGCAAATACTGTGGCATAGACCTGTGGTCTGGGGGAACACTGCCAGCCCCCCCATTGCTCCTGGACTACTCTGACACCTCCCCCTGCTCTTAGTAGATTGCTTAAGAGAGAGTTGGGTGGGGGACACTGGAAATGGAGAAAGGAGGCCCTGGAGGCCAAAGGCAGCACCACCTACAGAAACCTGGCTCTAGAAGCCGAGTAGTCACCTTTTGTCACCACAGCCAGGCCATGGAACATGTGGAGGCCCGTCCCTAGGTTGCCAAGGCAATGCGCAGGCCCCTGCCTGTGAAGAAGGCTATGGGGTTTGACAGGCATTCTTTTCTTGGCCAGTAGAAGGGTATTCATTTTCTTTGACCTGGTTTCCATGGCGTCAGGAATTGTTGCTGTTTGTTTAAAGGAAAAATGCACCAACTTGTGCCATGAGATGGCAAGGACACCGTTGGGTCAGCTAGTCAAAATGGCCTATGCCATCGTCATACCACACACACTCTGAAGACCCTGCACAGGGACAGCTAGGAGCCATTTGAAGATGTGTAACAGTGTGAGACAGAGCCAGGCTGTCATTGCCTCTGTGGTCTAGAGAAGCCGCAGAAAACACAGGCAAGGGATAGGTATGGAGGAAACACACGTGGTCCAAGGCTCCTTGTCAGTGCTTAGATCAAGAAGTCTGGGATCACCTGAGCCTCTTGGAACCAGTTGGACCAAAATGTAATAGGGTTGCTGGACATAGCCTGGGCTTAGCATGACAGACGTACCCCCTGCAGCCTCAAAATCTGAAATCCATACTTGTGTTTCCGGGACAGCTTCCCAAAGGTAACTCTTCAACCAGACACGACATTGAGTGGGGATAGAAAGTAGAAGGTGCTGGACGGGCAAACTCAAAGCAGAAGCAAGGGCAGAGCCAGGAGGGTGACAGAGAGGCTGGGATCATGGCGAGACCAAAGGGGTGGGGCTTGGGAAGGGGCACAGCCCTGAGAATGTCTATTCCCTACTCCTGTCAGGCTCCATGCCCCCTTGCTCAGGCTCCTCCACTCTTAGAGAATGCCCAGGAGCTGGGCACTGGACCAGTGCAGTGTCCATGGAGGTAGGGAGCCTTGAGACTGGTCTGTTATACCCACTCCATCTCTCACCCCTTTTCTGTGACTCCTATGGTCCCAGGCCTGCTCTATAACCCCGTCCTCTTGGACCTCAATCTCATCCATAGTAGCCCTCCAAGGTCACTAAGAGTCCTTTAGGCCTGGATGCTCTCCTGGCCCTGCCCCCAAAACTAAGTAAGCAAGGAGAGCAAGATGAGCAAGGAGAAGTTCCTAGCCCCTCAAAGGCTTGCTCCTGTGTGAGACCCCATGAGAAACAGGCTGGCAAAGGGTTGGGTGGGGGACACTTGGCAGTTCTTATGATGTCAAGGGGTGGACAGGCCAGTTTTGCTTCTGGGCCCTCTGGGAGGCTGGGCCCCCTCCTCACTTGCTGACCATGGGTCCAGAGGGAGGGAAGGTGTGTGGCTAAAACATCTGCTTCCTCAGCCAGCTTTTCTTTGGAAGAGCACAGGACCAGACAGGATAGTGGGCTGAACCTGTCTGGGCCCCAGCTGCTCATTCTGCCATATTCTTCACACTGTGAGGAGCGGCAGGGGTGTTGGGGAGGTGGTCAGAAGATTTCTGAGCAGGGACAGGGAAGCCACAGGTGTTCTGGGGGATCTGAGAGTCCCCTCCCCCAACAGCTGCTTTACCTTCATCCCCTTTAAAGAGTGAAGTTCACACCATGAGGACAACTACTGGCAAAGCAAAGACACATGACTGTGTCTTTGTTGATGGCAGCTACGACAGCCTGGTTGGTCACATTGCACCCAGTAAATCCACACAGTGTTAGGGTGAGAGTTTTGGACCCCTGCAGTCTTCTAAACTCTATGCGGGGGGGGGGGGGGGGGGGGGGGGGGGGGGGCGCAAGGCCATAGACAGCCACGCCAGGCCAGTGGAGACAGCTGGTCACCGAGAACCAGAACTACAGGGGACCTGACAACATCTATTACTTCTCTGGGTGTGGCCTGCAGTGAGAGGCCAGCATCTATTGCCTCAGGGCAGAGATGGTCCTGGGGTGCTGAGACACCTGGCAGGGCTAGTCGGCCCAAAGGCAAAGCTGCCCCCTTCCTTCCAGACAGGTTCCAAGGCTTTGCCAGGCCCTATCCACCCACCCACTCACGCTGGCAGAGAAGGTGGGGACAGTGAGTCAGCAGGGTGGCCCTTCCAACGGCAGGTGACCCGGTCATAACTGCCACAGCCTCAGTCAGAAAAGCCTCTCCTCAGAAAAGGAGAGCCGCCTGCATTGAGGGGTTTAGGAAGATCTCGGGGAGCCTGTCACTCAACTCTGATGGGGGAGGATGGGGCCTGTCAGAGGGCTGGTGACATTTCCCTGGACAGTGATGCTGCTCCTCCAGAAAGGGACAACTACTTGGGGGAAGGTGGCCAATCTGAGCTACTCTGCTACGTGGCCTGGGACAAGCCACTCCCCCTTGTCAGGTCTAGGTGCTGTCCTGTGTAATGGCTCCTTCTGGAGCATTCACAGATTATGCAATGATAAGGGAGAGGTGAAGCTCAATGGGCAAGGCTGGGGGTGGCAGCACAGAGAGGACCACAGAGAGAAGGCACAACTCACCAGAGCCTGGGGTGCAGCCACAACCCAGAGGGGTCAGAAAGCCTCCACTATTTGTTTTGCTTCCCAGATGTCACTTAGGAACACCAGACCCATAATGAGACCTTTGCTACCAAATTTAAATTGCTTTATGACTTCAAATGCGCAGGGAGTTTGCCAGGCTTGGGGAAGGCAGGGTCAGCCCGGCTTAGTATCTCCCATATCAGTTTCAAAGATCAGTGTGCGTTCTCCAGTATGGAGGATGGGAACTTCCCCAGGGAGGGAAGGGGGTCTGTACCCCGGGTATGGTGATTCAGCACCTGCAGTTCCAACCACCCTGAGGCAGGGGGCTTGCTTAAGCCCACAAATGCAGAGCCAGCCTGAAGAGAGCGAAACTCCACCTCGAAAGAGAAGTCGAATATATACTTAGGAGAAGCATACACGAGAAATAATGAACAGTAAGGGCAAGCCACATTTTACTGTTCTGTTGATCTCCATGCGTGATAGGCACGATGCATTTTATATTACACAAATACACATTTTAGAGCTTGCAAAAGAAATTTAGATTATGTCTCATGTGAAGAATTTAAATTTTTTTATTACACCTTGATTTATTTCTATGGATTCGTGTGAGTGTGAGAGCACACATGTGGGAGCAGGGGCCTTGTGTGCCCCAGCAAGCTTGTGGAAGTCAGAGGACAGCTTGTGGGAGAGGTGGTTCTCTCCTGCCACTATTCGGGTCCCGGGGATTGAACGCAGATCATCAGGCTTGACAGCAAGCATCTTTACCCATGAGTAGTTTTCTATCTGTCATTCTGTCTTTGGAAAGACAGTTCTTCATGCCGCACGTTGAAAGCATGTGTTTAGTACCCTATACATCATTGTGCCTCACATTTATTCACCACCCTCCTGCATTTAGACCCGCGTTGCACGCACAGCTTCTGTGATGATGCCACGGGCGTCTTTTTCGGCATGCTGAACTCCTGCATGACTTCTGCCTTTGGATGAGGCTGCCGTGCAGCCGGCCACGCTGAAGACAGTATGCTGTGCCAGCATGTAAGAATTGTGATTCAAAGGAGACACTGTAAACTTCAGATGTTAGAATGGTGTCTGCACTCACTTCCCGGGGCTGAGATAAAGGATCACCAGCACTGGACTGTGTTCCCTCAGGATGCCGAGTGAGTAGGGGACATCACTGCACCCGTACAGCACACCCCCCCCCCCAACTAAACTCCAGGGCAGATCCAGGCTGGGTCTGGAGTCCTCAGAAGGACCTGTCCATGGTCCCTCAGATCCCTCCCTCACCTCTGTCCCACAGCAGCTTCCCTGCCCTGCTGGTCTCTTTCTTCTTATGAGGACCCTGGTCAGTTTGGATTTAGGACACCCCACTGTTCCAGGATGACCCCATCTTCACCAAGAACACTGCAACAGCTCTGTTTTCACACCAGGGTCTTACCACATCTTTGGGGAGGTGCAGTTTGGCCTGATTGGCACCCGTTTGAACTTCCTGGTGGCCAATGATGGGAGTTCATGCCACTGGCTGAGAGTTCACACTGGCGACTGGGGGTTCACACCACTGGCTGAGAGTTCACACTGATGACTGGGGTTCACACCACTGGCTTTGTGTTAATCTGAAGGATCAGTTCTCCTTTTCTACCCAGGTTTCTCTTTCTGGATCTTATCCAAGGCCTCTCGCTGAAATGCAGTTCAACCTGTTTAACCTAAAAGTGAGAACTGGTGGTTAGCACAGGCAGGTGCAAAGGGCGAGACAGACAGAGCCACCTGGGTCCTTACACCATGCTGTCCTGCTCGCCTCCTTTCCCCCAGTTTCTCAGCTCAACTCCCCGGTGTGGGCTTTGTTCCCATTCTCCTTACCTTCGTAGGAAAGTTCATACTCTCATGGGTTTCCCCACAATACATGTGTTGAAACCTGATCCCAAGGCTGAGTGTGGGGAAGTGTCCCAGATGGGCTCTCCCACACAGACGGATCGAGGTTATTAGCAGGAGGGGGTCCCTTTACTGTCCTGTCTTGCTCTCTGTCTGCCACCGTGGGCTGACACAGAGGTAGGCTCTCACCATGTACCCCTGCTGTGGGCTTTCCAGCCTCCTGACTAGTAAGAGGATGTGTCTGCTCCCTGGAGACAGTCTGCTTTGTGCTTCCGGGGAAGGGGTCTGTTGGCAGCAGTGTACAGTGGGCTCAGAGAGGTGCCACCATTTCCAGGTATATGGGACTCAGAAAGATGTCTACTCCTGTAGCTCCAGTTTGTCTCAGAGATGTCGTTTATCAGCCAGGGAAAGTTGTACTTAAACTCTGGGAGTTGGGTATAGGTCAGCCACCCAAACCCCAGAAACAGTGTAAAAGAGCTGGCTCCGGGAAGCTATTACCAAACAAAGGAGTCAGACTTTTTTGGTTGACCCAAATCAAGAGATGCCCAAAATAAATAAATGATTCTTCTCATTTATCCTGAGAGCTTTTTGTATATTAAAGGTATTGGTCCTTTACATCTTTCTTATATATGTTTTTTGTTTTCTTAGTTTGCCTTGGTGGGTTTTGTCCCTCTGAGTCCAGAGGCTGTCTTTGCATCTCAGTGTGACCATGGTACCCTTTCTTGGAAGCTTGTCACCAGACCATGTTCTCAGGGTACGAACAATGCCACTGAAGAGAAGAGAATACACAGCTAGTGGTCAGCAAGTGGTTGGCATTGAGAAGCTTATTGTCATTCACACAGACGTCACAGGTGAACGTAGAGCCAAGAAGTCGTGGCTGTCCCTGATGAAGGTCGGTGGGGGTGGTAAAAGACTGTGCAGAAAGAGCAGACACCAAGGGCTGCTCCACCCAGTACACAAGTCCTCACTCAATCTTAAAAAGCGATAAGAAATGTAACTTTGATCTGGTGAGCCTTTTGATTGAGCTGTGAATTAAACGCAAATAGGTGGTGCACCTCTCCCAGAAGCTGGCACTGCCCTGTGGGGGAGGAACCAGGTGGGGCCAGGGAAGGGACGAGAAGTCTGGATGGCATGGTGTACCCTCCAGTCGCAGGTCTGGCCAGAATAGATTCTGAAGCATCTTTGTTGGCACCTGGCTTTTTCCTTTTTATGACTTAAATTCAAGAGTCACAGGAGAGGAGGAGGAGGCAGAGGAGGAGGAGAAGGAGATGGCAGATGGCCGTGTTGATGAAGGAGTTGCTCCTCACTCTGTAGCTTCCCATAGCTGGGGAGCAACAGAGAAGTATCCCCAAGGAAAGTGGCCCTATTCATGCTGGAACCATGTCCCCAACCTGCAGGGAGACACCCCTGAGGGTCTAGCTGGCTCTGGCTATAGGGTCTGACCTATCCACCCCACAGACACTACCCAGGAAGGAAAGATGTCATGACAGCAGCCCCCGGGAAGTGACTTAGTCCTGGGTGGGGGCACAGAGGATATGAGCAACAGAGGGATGGACAAGTTAGAGGGGCGGACACTAGTGCAGCCTGAAGGACTCAGTGCCCGGGTCCCCTGTGCTGAACAAATAATAGAGGGAAGGGAAGAAGCAACCTGCCCTCCTAGGGTGTGGGTTCCAGTGTCACCTCTGAGGGAGGCTGGGACAACCTGGCTTCCCATGCGGAGTTACACACTCCTAGGTGGGCGTGGCAAAGCACACTCAGAAAGTGTTTGCCATTTTGCTCAGGGCACTTTGGCAATGTGCAGCCTCAGTGTCCCCTCCTTCATTTTACTTGTAGTCTCTCAGTCCCCTGGGCTGACGTCCCCTGCTACTCTCTGCCCAGATAAGGCCACCCTATGTCCTGTGGGGGGAGGGACCCTGATGAGACAGGCCAGGCCAAAAGCTACCAAACCACAAATGCTTTGATGGAGTAATGGGAGAGAGAAAGAGACTCAGTGGATGTCATGGGCTGGGGTGAGGGCTGGAGGCTGGGACACTGGGGAGACAAGTCCCTAGTAGGATAAACACAGTACACTCGTGGTCATGACTTCCCCAAGTACCTCCACCAGAACAAGAGGAGGCCCTGTTCCCAGCAGCCTGCTCAAGGGAAGTCAGTGCTGGATGGGATGCGGAAGTGCTCACCAACTCTGGGAGACTCCTTTTATGGGGAAACCTTGGAACCCAGTTTGAAAAAGCCAGCTATGTGCTTCCCTTCCTGGGGGTCTGCGAGGAGGTCAGTCCACAATGGCGCTATGCTTGCTTTGGTATCTGGAGTGCAGCTTAATGGGCTTACGAGGCACTGTCTAATGGACGGCAAGCTAGTACATGATCAACTGCACAGATGAACCTCTGTGCATGCTTGTGTGTTTGTTTTTCTGTGTGCACTCACGAATGTGCGTGTGTGCTTGCTCATGTGTGCACAGGTGTGCGCAGGGCTATGTGTGTGTGCTTCGTGCTCCTAGGTCAGTGTCATGAATGTGTGTTTGCCATTGTATACCTATACTTGCAAGCACCTATGCCCACATACATGCGTCTATGCATACAGTGGACTGAGTGAGTTGGCCCGTGTGCTTGCACGCTCTATTTACCCTGGAGCCTGGATAGAGCACCCAACTGCTGGGGTGACCCGTGGAGAGGTCAGGGTGAGTCAGCTTAATTGGAAACCAACAGGAAAGAGTGAGATCATCGTGCTGGACGAGACAAAGCTGCATGAGGGCGAGGGTCAGCACTGTGTACTTAAACTCCATATCAAAATAGGATCCAGGAAAGTGACTGTGATGGAGATTCCCACCCCCAGGGCACTAGTATGAGGAGAGCTCCAGAGAACTAGGCCAAATGTCCCTCCTTCTTAATGACCAGACCTTATGGCAACACATGACACTCCAGCTACTGTTTTGGCTGAGGGAGGGTGACCCCTACACTGACCAGGGAAGGTCTTCTCTGCTTCCAGCCTGCCTCATGCTTTGCAGCCTGACTTCTGCCCCTATTGTCCCATCAGCCTTGGGCAAATTTACTCAGCTCAGACAGATCCTGAGCAGCACAGAGGGGCCCAGGTGTTATTAATGAGGTGAAGCAAAGTGGTTTCTATTTGGTCTGTGTCTGTACATCTCTGCTTGATCAAAATCTGTAATCAGCCTGTCTGAGACCCCAAGAGCAAAAGTCAGCCAAGAGGACTAGGAGTTGCTCATGGCTGCCTCGCGTCACTGTGGTCTCTAATACAGAGCTCTGTTCTACCTGGGGCCCCAGAGGGCAGACCCTGTTGCACACAATAGTCAGCTGTTCTCGAAGCTTCTCTGTCCTTCCATCTCCACGGCCCCATTGGGGATCGATTGGATTCCTGGGATGAACTCCAAAAACAACTTCCTTTATTCATGTCCGGGCTCAGGCCTGCCCTTTGGGGACCCATGCTAAGCCAAATTCTGTGTGGACAAAGCCAGAAGCTCAGAGCAAAGAGAAGATTTCAAGGCCATACACCTGGTCTACTGGTTTCTGGCCTGTGTGAACCTCAAGGGCAAGGCAGGGAGCTGGGATGAGTAATGGCCTCCCCTCTGTCCTGTTGGATCATCCAGACAGCAGAAGTCCAGCAGGAAGGGCCGGCCCAAAGACCAGATGGGCGGTGTGGGCAAAGGCGATGGAAACAAAGAGACAGCCCACCGGTTTGCCCACTCAAGGCCCACACAAGACTTGGCACCATCACTGTCAAAACCTGTTTCTTTTCCAAAACTGAGCCCAATGATCCCTCCTGAAGTTGGAAATGATGTCAACTAGAATTAAGGTGTTTTATTAAGGCTGTGCAATGTACTAGACCTCACATTGGTAATGAAGCCATCCTGAAAGTAATTCTTTGCTGCTCTTAGAGGTCTTGAGAGGAGTTCAAGTTGCCCAGCCAAGCAGAGCACACTGGGAAAATCCCATCAGCAGCTGCATCTCCTCCAGTGTGACCACTGGAGTTTCCTGGGGAACCCACCTGAGGAAGTCTGATCTGTTAAGATCTAAATTTAAACAACATGCAAGTAACAGAGAAGTTACATAGTGGTTGCCAAGAAGGGTCCTTCCCGTATGGTCTGACATGCTCTTCTGTATACCACAAGTCACTTCAGCTGGGGTCCAGGGCATATGGGCTCGAGATGGGGCAGTCGTTACTTCTAAGAAGCTCTGCATCCCAAGGGGACACTCAGATGGCTTGCCCACTGGGTGCCTCAAGGGACCAGTGATGGCCTGTCTCAACATACAAAGCCACCAATTTCAGCCATGCCATGCTGTTGCCTGATCCCTGCTGGCGTTGCTTATCCCTGACAGGCAGGAACTTGCAGGGCACTCTAGGGCAGATCACATTAGACAGAGAGCAATGTGAATTCCACAGAAAGTAAGAGGATAGATGTCCCAGCATCGTCAGGAGCCAAGCTCTGGGCACTTACCATTACCTGACTGAGATGGCAGATGAATTCCTAGGGCTGCAGCACAAATGGCCACAAAGCCAGGTGGTGGGTAGGC